AACATGTATCTGATTACAGATTGAGAGAAAAAAATGCTGTAATGGCAATGTCTACATAACAAGATGATGGACCTGCTACATATATTTTTCTGTGTACCCACGTTCACTCTGCTTAAACATACATTGATCCAACACCGAGCCAGGTCACTTACCATGTCAAACAAAATAAGTAAGGACAAGAATTACTATTGCGTGTTTAGTGTCTGAACCAAGACTATAGTGGCAACTTCAGGGTAGGGAATCTTGAAGGACTTTCTGAAAGCACTGTCTTCATGGCATGTTACATGTTAATGTTGCACATGAGAAGCTACCTATGATAGTTTATTTGGGGGAGTGTCTTTGCCACCCAAAAGTATCTCTCCCTCGTGTTAGCTGGACCTTCAGATTTTTTTCATTTAAAAATGAAGTTTTGGGCTATACAGTTGAAAAGGCAGCTTAGCTTTTAAATGAGCCTGGAAGTAAAGGGTGATGGATGTACAAAAGGGATGAGTGGCTCCTCACCTGCATCCCCACTGCTCCCCAAGATGCATTGCATAGCCATCCTAGATTCTGAAATGGGGTGCAAAGAAAGACACAGCAGAGAGGGGAGAAGTGCACAGAAGGGGATACCAGAACAACATTTTGCCTACTTGACATTTTTTCCTTGAGTGGACTTCATCCCTCCTGCATAGTTAGAACTGAAGGCTTTGCCAAAGCTTCCATCCCTTCCTTTCAGGCATGCCCTAGATGAAGGGAAGCCTACGAGCAAAAGCCAGCCTCTACCCACAGGGAGGATGACAGGAAGAGCTGGGAGCTGCTGACTGCCCCGGACAGCTCTCGCGGTGGGGCGGATACGAGAAGAACGGTGAGTGCAGCAGGGGCTGGCAGGCCATCGCAGATGCAGGTGCTCTTGGCCCCAGATCCTGCTTTAAATTACCGTGGTTGAGTTACTTAACGGCACTGTCCTCACAATAACAATATAGAGCAACCTTTAAAAAAAAGTATTGTATGTATAGGAGACCAGAAAGAGAGAAACAGCTTTACATTTGATAATAAGGGAAACAAACTCTTATGTACTAACTCCAAGTCTATGACCCTGTTCATGTAATTCCACACAAAGCCAGTCTCCATACAATTTTCTCTGTTACAAATGGCTCCAGTTTTCTCTAGGACGCTGAGCAACACTTTGTGCCAGCAACATAAATACTTTATGTATGTATATGAGCTTCAAAAGATGCTTAACCTTCAAGAGGTAAAATATTATGTGCATTTATGAAACTTTTAAGCCAATTTAATTAAGAATAGGCAAACAATAGATTACTTGGTAAATATTTTTGAAGAACATATTACAAGAAAATTATTTAAATTGTTTCCTATAAAATGCAGTGTTTCCACAAAATGAACGTTTTCTAAACCTACTTACTATCTCTCTCTTACACATACACACCATGCACACATACTTCCTTTTACATCTTGAATTTTCTTCAAACAAGCAAACTTTACAGGCCTGGTCTTGATGCCAAAATGAACCCCTTTCATTTGCTGATTGAGATCTGGCTCAACAGCCAATGTTTCCCGCTGGGTCCTTACAGAGGGGGCATTCATATTTTATCCTGATTTATTCATTATCCAACATCAAACCTTTGGAAGATAAAACAAAGACCTAGTGAACAATGCAGAGAAAACTTACTGGATTGTTTTCAATCCTCAGCCTCAGCTGAAAGAATTCTTCAGTAGCATTGCCTGCTCTACCAATACATCATGCAGGTAATTGGGGGTAGGGAGCAGGGGAATGACAAGCTGGGTCAAATCAACCCTCTGCATCCGCTGGTGTGCACAATCATCTCCAACATCAAAAGGATCTAATGAGAACTTGAGACTCCATGGCCTTAGAGTAGTTGACCCAATCTTGTCATTAAGTATCAAAAATCCCCCAGCTTCTTGTGAGCATTTACAAGTTACATAGCAAGATCTCTACACATGCAAAACAAAAGACTGTAATCATCCTTTATTTCTCAGAGGAAAGCTTTAATGACAGCTCTGGAAAAGCACCAGGTTTTCAGTATCAGAGATGCCAGTTTTAGCATTAGTTCTACTGTTTCAAGAATGAATAATGGATGTCACATATTCTTAATTATAAAAAGGGCTGTTGCCTTCCTCTAGGGTGTTGGAGGAGATAGATGAAACCATAGTGTTCAAGTTGCTCTGTACAATGTGAACATTCTTTTGAACGCTAGGTCTATTATTATTACGCCAAACACTGATGCTGTTGTTGGCACTCATCATATAAGGCAGCAAAGACAGTAACATCCCCCATCATGCTTGAACTCACAGAGGAATGGTTGCAAACTTACTATATGATTTGACAGTACTGCAATGGCTCAAAAACATAGATTTTCTGCCCTACTTAAAATTCCAACTCTTAGACATTTATTCTTTGGTTTAAGGCATCAAGTTATGTCAAAGGCGTCATAACAACATGAAGAAAAGATAAATAAATGAATATTATCTTCTCCTCTGATGCATGACATGGATAAGAACTAGGAGACGATCGTTACAGAGATGCAGGGGTACTGGAGGAAAAAAGAGGTAAGTTCACCCCGAACAGAAACCAGGTGAATTTGTGGGACCCTGGCTGGGTTTAGATTTTCCCGGGTGTCTCACCAGTCTCCATACCATTTGAAGTTAGTGTCGCTGTTCCAGCCTAAGCAGCCAGCTCCAGAGGCATCATTGTTGCCCTTGAAACTCACCTGTGTCTGACTTTTGGCTTTCCTGATCATTCACCCTCTGAAAATAATGCATGTTTTATTGCAAAGACTGCTCAACAGTGGACTGACAGACAATATTTGCTGGATTTCCCGTTCTCGTTGACACCTCCAGGCGTCTGGTCGTCTTCTTGAGTGTTGCAACAGCCTCTTTAAAAAGTAACTCAACAAGATTTCTGCCTTTACCTCCCTCACTTCTTACTGCTCCTCATACCTTCATAGAGTAGTTTGGTCCCTTAATGTGGCTGCCTCCCAGAAAGGGGTCGTCTCCTTTTGGCTGCTTCATGTGTGATGATCGGAGGAGGAGAGCGTTATACACTAATGTGGAAGGTGGAGGATTCTGCCAGGACCATTTCCAAACTGATGATCATTTCCCGTAAAGGCAACCGCGGGCCAGCCTGCTTGGTACCTTCTCTAGACGACAGCCTGGCCGAAAGGGGACTGAGGGAGTCAATCTTCATTTGGATTTGGCTACCTGGATTTTCTTGTTGGACGGACACGATCCTAGGTCATAAAGAGAATGACTGCTTGGCTGTACAGCTCACCGAGAAGCTCTGTGCATCAAAATGGGATACAGTGGGTCTCCGTGTGTTTTACAAAAATGCCCTTTCCGCCTGTTGTACTTGGGCATGATTTGAGTAAAAGGTAAAGTTACAGAAGCTAAAATGGGACACCCTGATTTTGTGCTGGTAGAAAGATAACAACCACTTTGTCACCAGGGGTGAGAGCACCTCGGACCCCAGGCGTGATAGGGAAGGGACCGTACATATAAAAAATAATTAAGATAAAAAGACCTGTGATACAATCTGGAGCCAGGACAGTGCTTCAGACATCTTAAAATGCTGGTTAAAATGTGAGTTGACTTAAAGCATACTCTGGAGTGTCCTGGATGGATAAGGCAACCATATAAAAAAATGAGACATTGTTGGACCCTGGGTCATGGCAGCAGGTTGGAAGTTTTTGATGATGCCCGCGGTGGCTTTACATAAGGGACACATACTCTTCTAAGTACTTAAAAGGAGTCAATTAAAAAATATAGACCCATAAATTAGGGAAGAAGTTGTTTTTTTAACTCATATGGACAGTATTTGCTCTTGTTTTTTATTCTTCAACAGATGTCTACTTTATCAAGCCATCAATTTTGTGTTTATTTAGAGATGGAGATTAAGTTGATTCTTATCACTCAACGTTTTGTAATGTGGACAAAGGAAGGTGATCCTTTGGCCTTTAAGAAGAAGAAATAATTCTAGACATTGAAGAACTCACTGCAGTTCACTACATAAGAAGGATTATAATTTTAGGATAGTCAACATATATATATATATGCACATGTGTATTTATATACACACACATATATGCTTTATCATTAATTGAAATGTTGATATATATTTTTTCAAATGTTTTAAATATACAGCATTAGTTAAAACGTTTTTACTTTCTATGTTTAATCAGAATTGTAATGATGTGTATTTAAGATAATGTCAAACTGGAAAAATACAGCCATGTAATTACTCTCAAAGAGGACCAGGAAAGTGCTAAAAATAATGGCTTGTAAATTGTTTCTGGGTTTAAAGGGCAGTTTGAAAACCAACTGCATAAGAGCATAGTCCCCAGAATCTTTGCTATCTCTTTGGTCTTTGTCTTATTTCATGGATTAACCTGTGTATCATTTTTGTCTGAAAACATTATAAAAATCTCATCTTGTACTGAAGACACTAGGTTGCACCTGTTCTTTTACTTGTATCTTCTTCCTTCTTCTTTCTCTTTGTGTTTTTGTTTTTTGAGGGTAGAAAAGTTCTTCCAAAGCCACCAAGAAATAGTTTTTTCTTAAAAAATCACAAAATATGTGTTGGAATAATAATTCTATAGTTAATAAATATCACTATACTAATCACTAAAAGAAGCCAATGGAGTAAATACATTTCAAAGATTTATAAAGGAAGTTTCTGAAGAATTTCGTTGAATTTTACTTATTTCTTTTTCTTGAGACCTTAGGCTGACTCTTAATCTGTTGTTTTCAATTTAAAAAAGCTGTAGACTTAATTTTTAAGCTACCTATTTTCTCTATTTAAAAGTCAGGCACAGAACCTCTGTTTCAAAGGTTATAAAAAGCTATAAATACAGTTGTATAAACTAGGAGTCCATGGTTTATGTATGAAATTCAGAAAACCAGAAAACAAAATGTACTAATATCGAGGATAAACAGTGGGGAGCACCTAAAAAAACAAAAACAAAAAACTACTCTCCTTGACAGAGACTTCTAGCTTATTTTTATTTTGTGAAAGAACACCTTTAGTAAGAATAAACATTCTAATGGAATAGGTTCCCATACAATTCTAAACAGAGATTTGCAAACTTGTGAATATACTAAGTCTTACTTTGAAATCATTTATAAAATTCATGCCACAAATTGTCTACCCATTGAAAATTAACTGCTTTTCACATACCACTCCCATGATATCACATGTTCCTTTGGGAAGAAATGTGTTAATTTTGGCAAAAATATCTACAATGTTTAAACATTTATAATAAACAAACAAGCTGTGCCCATATCTGGTGAACAGCTTCAATGGAGTTTAAAATCACTACTCATTTCTCAGCTACCCATTCAGATCACGTTTCCATTACTTTCTGTTACTGTTGAAATTGATGAACGATTCTATGCAAAGGAAGTCTTTCTGAAGAATTCTGGAGGTTTTCAAGTCTCTCTTCTCTTTCTTCATTTAGGGCAGTTACATCCAAAAGCTAATGAAGCAAACACATTCAGGAGAAAAGACTAAATTCTTTATGCTTAAAACTTGCATTTGAGGATCCAGAGTTTAGTTCTCTTTCTAAAAAATTGCAGGTAGAGAATCTGACCTCCTCAGTTGAATTACAGGGCACTTGCATACAACAAAATGAAGAATCGATGCAGTAAAGTGTAGCTTTCTCATATCTGCTATCATCTGCTTTTTAGGGAAGAAAATTCCAAACTCCAGGATCCAGGAGTTCAGAGTACACCTATTTTAGGTGTAGAGATATCTTAATAAAAAATTATTCATATTGACTGGATTTCTCTTAGGTTGCCTGTACAGTGATCATCTGTATTTTTTCTGTATATATGGATCCTGCCACAACGTTATAGAAATGTTAGATTATACGTATGCTTTGTCATACACACAGTTCTTTAAAAAGAAACTAAAAAAAAAAAAGATTTGAGAATTTAATCCTCAGACTTATACACAAATTCCTTTTTTTTTTAATTTGAAAAATAATATTAGGCATGAAAACAACTCCAATGCTTTGGAAAGTTTTAAAAATAAAAATAAGCAATTCCCTTCTGTTCTTTCCAATTCCCAGCATAATTCTCCACTGTAAACTTCTGTTGAGAGTTACTGGATGTACTACAGGAAATCTAATTTATATACAAATAAATGGTTTTATCCTGCATCAAAAAAAAGCTTCCACAAGGTTTGAGTATCATTTCATCCAATTTCTCAATGAGATTGACTGTTAATTTTTATTTAGTTGAAATATCCCCAACTTCTATTACCTAGAATTAGTCATTTTGTTTTTGCTTGAAACACTACCCTACTTCATCTCCAACTTCATCTACTCAAATCCTATTTATCCCCATACTTAGAGGCAATGCTCATGTTAGTGTGTATTAGTTCCTATTGCTGTGTAACAAATTAGCCCAAGATTTGGAAGCTTAAGACAGCAAATATTAGTCTCACACTATCTGAGGGTCAGGGATCAGAGTCCAGCTTAGCTGAGTGGTTCTGGCTTAGAGTCACTCACCAGGTTGCTGTTGAGATGCTGGCCTGGACTGTAATCATCTCAAGACTTGCAGGGGACTAAAGGATCCACTTCCAAGCTTTTCCCATGGTCATTCCCAGGAGTCGGTTCTCATGGGTTGATGGACCTAGGGCCTTAGTTCTCATCACGTGGGTCTCTCCACAAGGCAGCTAAGAACATGGCAGGATGGTTTCCCCATGGTGAATGATCAGAGAAAGAAAGAGAGGCACTATCTTTTTAACCTGAACATGAAAGAGACATATACTTTCTGGCATATTCTATGTGTTAGAAGTGAATCGCTGGGCCTAGCACGTACTCACAGGCAGAGGAATTGAGCATTAAAGCCTTTGGGAATATAGTTGCAAAACCACCACATTGTATGTGAAGGACTGTGATATAGGTTGGTGATGAGATAGTCTGTGTTTTCAATGAGAATAAAAATGTCTCAGTTATGACAGTGTGAGAATTACAAATCCAAAAGTGACAGAAAATACCATTCTTATTCAATGTATTTCTTCCATATTTTAATTTTCTTATTACTAAATAGACTCATACTCATTATATTGGTAAGTACAAGAAAAATAAATAGGAAAATAATATTTTAAGCTCCTATTTTGGCAACTGCAAATGACAGTCTCTATACTTGATCATTATGATACACTGTCTTCCAAACATTTTTCCATACATGTATTTTCATGTGCATGTAAGTATGTTGGCAAGCCTCCCTCACCCACCCCATACCTCTAGTTCTTCGCAAAGGTTTCCAATTGTGCATGCTTTCACATCCAAAGCCTTCCTAGTCTCTGAAAGAGAACAATGGTTTCTACTTAAGCATGAATCTGAAAGACATAAGAAGTTCATTTTTAGAAATGTGATTAATTTCCAATGGCATTGTTTTCCTTGTTAAAACTGAATAAATAAGATCTGATTTGCAATGTTGGCTGACTTCTTTTTTAAAAAGTAGGTTAAAATGGAAGATTTTCTTATTTTTTCATTCCAGTTTGGGTTTAATTAAGACAGACCTGTCAGAAAAAGAAACTCAGAGAAAACAGCCAAAGATAATCCCTAATCACCATGTATCATCATTAAGCGTCATGGCAGTGCTAATCCACGGGAACATTCATGACCTGGCAGTCACTGGAGGCCTCTACGTTGTACTTTGCCCATTGTTCTGGGAGTTTCCAGCATCAAACTCCAGAGGAAGACTTTTTTTTTTTAAGATTCTTTTTCTTCTTTGCATTTAAAATGAATCCATTTCAGTTTTGAAAGGAAATCATTTTATAGCAACTGTTGTAATCAAGACCTGTGAATGTATAAGAGTCATAGTGAAAATACACAGATCACCTGGCTTCTCATATTTCTTATCATGGATCCATTTGCTTACATGTGTACTAGCAGATACATACATATAGTGATATGCTTTTTTTGTTAGTGTTGTTGGTGTCATTTTCTGATTATGGGAAAAGAGGAAAAAAAATATGCCTATTTTATGAAGGGTAATGAATGTTAGCAATTATATTGAGGTGCCTGTACCAGAGACTTGAAATTTAACAGTGGCTTACACTGATTTCAGAATGTCTTCCTTTCACATAACATGAGTGAGAATGGTGGCCCTATAATGGTGTCAGGGTCCAGGTTCCTAATATCTCTCTGTTCCACCATCCTTCATGTGTAGTTTCCATCCTCAAATTCATCACATGCTCACAAGAGGGTCATTGGGCTCCCATAATAATTACTGCATTCCAGGCAGGAAGATGAAGAAAAAGAGAAAAGCTAAAGGGATTATGCCCATTCCAAAGCTCTTAAATAATTTTCCCAGAGCTCACTCAGTAGATTCTGCTAATATATCACTAACCACCCCCAAAAGTCCATTTTTTCGGATGGACACATAGCTGTTCCCAGTAACAGAGATTCTGAAAATAATCAGAAGCAGAGAATAAATGCTGAGTAGACATATAGGGGGAACATCTGATATAGGCTATAGGAGGAACATCTGATTTTATACCAAGTAGGCAATGGTTAAGCGTGAGGACTGATATTCTGTGAGTCTGCCGTCTTCTTTAACAGATATCTGATGGGCATGAATTCACTTAATACTCCTTCCGCTCAACTGAGGTTATTGACAAATGATATAAACACTGTAAGATCAAACATTTAAAAATGTATTATACCTAAGGATGAAGTGACAGGATTATTTTATTTTAATCTAATAATATTATGTAGATTCTTAATATTTGAAGAAATCCAAGCTGTTCAGAATGAGCCTCACAGTGTAATGCTAACAACTTATTTCCTTTTCAGCCTGCTGTTCTTCCAGACCTCACTGCAGAAAGCTGCCACTGGTTTCTGGAAAAGAATGCCCGGTGGCGGACCAACCCTTAAGAGGAAGTGAAGTCACAGCCCCATTTTACATTTGCACACAGTTTTGAACTAAAAGCAAACTTCTTATGTATATACATTTAAAAAAACACACACAGCTGCTGTGAGATGGGTGGGTGTTCTTATCCCCCTGCCACGGATCAGGAAAATAATTCCGTCCAGAATGAGTCAGTAACGTACATAACACCATCAGAGACACTGGTGGTCTACCTGCTCCCTCAGTATAGACCATCTTCCAGCTCTATGATTCTTACAAGAGGTAGTGAAGAACCCAAATAATACTCACTCAGAATAGGAAATGCAAGACAAAGTCAAGTATTTGAATTCACGGCCACTAAGGAACAATGATGCCAGAAAGCGAAGGGTCACAACTAAGGAAACCGAGAGTCCATGTGCCACCAGTCCTGGACCCAAGGAAGTTAGACCGGTGCAAGCCCTCTGACTTTTTCACTGTCAACAGTCATTTGGAAGAGATATGCAGACAGTATAGACACAGGGTATCAATAGCCAAGGTGGTAACAGCAACTGAAACACGAAATGACCAGACAGTATGGATGACATTGGCATTGTGTTAAAATCAAAGTCTCTGGAAAGAGCCTTTTAAATTCAAAATTTAAGTTGATAGAAAACCTGATTCGAGTTTAATTAAACTGAGTACAAACAACTCTTGTCATTCATTTTTCCAATGTGAATGTGGGTGAGGAAAAAAGAGCAACATGTTTCAGTGGAATTTAAAGTTTAACTTTTATAAGGCAATGTTTGTCACCAGATTACTCCAAGAAGACCATGTAGATGACTTATTATTTGGTTGCCTCTTTTAATAGGATGAGCACAAACTCTTAACATCTGCTCCTGTCTTAAACTCTAGAATCCAGCTATCCATCACATAGTTTTGTTGTGCAGATCACAAACAGGCCTGACATAATCAAGAAAGTGACTCATCAGTGGCCATGAATCGGTCATGGACTGCCACTGTTAAAATGCAAACATAATACATTTTCATACATAAAGAAACAGGAGGGTAGATTGCATCACCACATTGTTGGACTAAGTCTCACAAATGAGAGCTTGACAAATACTATAAACAGTTTTATGCAATGCTTCACATTTTTCTGTATGAGGGGAACTTGGAAAAAGTACAGAGAAAGCTACAATAATGATTCAAAGGGCTAAAACAGGGAGATAAATGGTATGACTGAAATATTTAGTTTTAAGAAGAGAAGTTCTAAGAGTACCTAGTTGCACATCTTTGCCTACATTATATCATTGGAGACTTTTTAATATATATTTTAATCTTCAGTGAAGGAAATGAAATAGACATAACCAGATATGCTTAAAATATAAACACATACAAAATTTTTAACTGTAGGAGCTATTAATGAGAATAGTGTCCCTGAGAATTTGGAACATTTCCTTCCATAAGTCACCTTATGAATAGGGTAAACTATTCAACGAACCCAAATTAGGGGGAGAATGACTGGCTTTGTACTGTGTCCCTGTGTGGAATACCTGGGGTGTACTGACTGAAGGAGTAGTTGGGCACCATACAGTAAATGACCATGTGACCCAACCTACATCATTTGAAAATTATTCTGGAAGCAATGCAAAAAGTGGAAAATAATTTTAAATGAGAGAATGACATGATCAGTTTTATTATAGGGTAGTAACTTCAACAGAGACTTAATTATCCTGTGAGGTCAGTTTTCATTAAAATTAAAATAATTGTTGAATTTTTTACTCTGTACCAGAGTCCAAAACTATCTAAAAATGTTGGGAGAAGATACAAGGATAAATAGACGGTTATTCCTGCTTTGAAATTCTCAGGCTTTTCATGGTAAATAAAAATGGTTAAACCAGATGGATATATTTTGAGTATTTCTTATAGCTTTAAATTCTCTGAGTCTATGATATTCAGGGATACATAGAGTTAGTATAACCAGAATATACTGGATTCAGGCAGAATCTACTGGTTTTTAAAATCTGAAACATTTATTAATTTTTGCTAAATGTCTGCTGTCTTTTAACTTATAAAAGATGTTCTTCTCTGTGATACCATGTCAAACAACTTAATCAGAAGACATGCTTTACATAAGATGGAAATGACAAATTAAGAGATCCTCAGAAAGTCTACTCCTTTAAATTTAGGAAGTGTCCCCATTAATCCAATTAATCACAATTAATTTGGACATCGACTTAACTTTGTGTTTAACTCAGACATAGCTTTAAGATGTCCAAAAGATACCAGCCTCCCTGTGGGCCAAAATTTCTATCCATATTGGCAAGATTATGGAAGCTAAATGCATTAAGTTCAAGCTGACTCATCTGATTATTTACCCAATACCATTCAAACCCAGAAGGAAAATGACTAAGACTTTTCTTGAAAGACTAATAGCCAAAAGACTCATCTCTTGCAGTCCCTTCTAAGTGTTCTTTTTTTCCTTCACCTCCACCTGAATCATATTTTATAGTTATGGTTTGAGTTAGAATCCTTTTACACTTAGTCAGTGCTTGTTCACCTTCCCTTGGGAGAATCAACAAGTATGCCCAGACAGTCATGTTCCAGAAATTGAATGAGGCTTTGTCTT